ACATGAGCAGGTTGTGGATCTGATCCCCAGTGGGGCGCGTGCAGGAGGCGTCCAGTCGATGTTCTCTCTCATCGATGTTTCTATCTCTCTCTCCCTCTCCCTTGCTCTCTGTCTCTAATATCAATAAAGAAAAAGAAAGGATATGGAGTTCCTGCCCTGGCCAGTGTGACTCAGGATTTAGAGTGTAGGCCCGGCTCCGAAGGACTGCAGGTTTGATTCCCAGTCAAGGGCACATACCTGGGTTGTAGGTTCTATCCCTGGCCCCAGGCGGGATGCATGTGGGAGGCAACCAATCGATGTGTCTCTCTCACATGGATGTTTCTTTCTCTTTCCCCCTCCCTCCATCCCTTCCACTCTCTCTAAAAATAAGTGGAAAAAATATCCTCAGGTGAGGATTAACCCAAGGGGGGAAAAAAAAAAAATATATATATATATATATATATATATGGAGTTCCTTTCTGAGGTAATAAACTTTTTCAAAAATTGATTGTGATGATGGTACATAATTCTGTGACTATTCTAAAAAAACCACTGAATTGCATGCTTTAAATGGTAAATTCTATTGTAATAAATTATATCTCAATAAAGGTGTCAGAAAATAAAGAAAAAAGAAAGACTTAAGAGACATATCAACCCAATGTAATGCATGGACCTTTTTTGGATCCTTTTCAAACAAATCAGCTTTAAAAATACCTTTATAAATTTGAATAGTAAATGGATAATGTGATATTAGAATTACTGTTAATATTTGATACATAACAATGATATTATCAGTTGCTAAAAAGGAATACATTATTCTTGGAAATAATACTAATGTAGTTATAAATAAAATAATATGTCTGCAGTCTACTTCAAAATAATCTATGGGAGAGTGGGAAGAATGTGTGTGTGTATTGGGTGGGGGCAGGTGAAACAAGACCAGCCAAATAGTAATAATTGTTGAAGCTGAATGATGGATACATGGAGATTATTATACTCTTCCCTTTGCTTCTATATATGCTTGAAGTTTTAATGATAAAAAAATGTAAAAGATTAGTGATTTAATATTCCACTAAAATTAACCAAGGCAAATAATTTATTAATCTTTGCATTCATTTTTCTGATATCTATTTATTATACTATGAACATCATACATTATACTCCAGCTGATTTTTTCTTTTTGATGGTCATTTTCTTCTTTTTTTCTATAAGCAGGTAAGTATATAGTAAAAAAAATACTAATGAAGGAAAAAAGAAAACAAAATTACCTATAATTCTGAGATAGCTACTATGTATTGTTCAATATTTTGGCACATATCTCACTATTTTTATAGGTGTATATACACTATATAGTCAACATTATTAATACATGTACTTTAAAAAATCATAGTATTAATACAGTTTTGTGACCATCTTTGTTCCTCCACTTCTGATATATTTAAAGAGTATTTGACCAAAATACTTTTCAATCCCTATACCACTGATACTCAGTTTGCCCCATAACCTGACATGCTTTGTGTTTCTCTCTGATGGTTGTTTCATTTGAGACTCATTTATTTACCTTGAAACTAATTTACCTACCAGACAGCCAAATTCAGATAACAATGTTATATCAGAATTTTACAAACATTCATGCAAAATGTAAAATATGAGCTAACAGCTTCAAATTAGCCAACCTGATTTTGGTTGGGAGGAACATTCCAGTTGCCTATCATAAGCCAGATTCTTTTCAGTTCTAGGACTGAGAAGGAGAGTAATGTTGGATTAAGCAGAGCAAGTATTATTCATATAATACTATTTGAATATATTAGTATTATGTATTTTATAATATACTATTGTATGGTATAGACAAATATTTTAATTGTCATGCCTCATTTTTATGAGGTAGCAAAGCTACAGATTTTAAAATCAACAGTTAGCTCTTGGTCCAGATGAGGTACTAAAACAAAGGGAATGGAAAAAAATGGACATCTGAAGAGAAATAGTGAAGACTGGGTTTTATTCAGGTTTTTTAAGATAACTCCAGGATTTGGGGGGGGGGTAGAACACACAAGAATTAATTATATTAGTCACTAGACAGGAGCAACAGAAAGAGAATATAAAATAGGGAAAGAAGGCCTAGCCAGTGTGATTCAGTGGTTGAGCATCGACGCATGCACCAAGAGGTCACTAGTTCGATTCCCGGTCGGGGCACATGCCCAGGATGTGGGCCAGATCCCCAGTGGGGGGCATGCAAGAGGCGGCCAACCGATGTTCTTTCTTATCGATGTTTCTATCTCTCTCTCCCTCTCACTTCCTCTCTCTAAAAATCAATAAAGAAAAAAAATTTTTTTGCCCTAGCCGGTTTGCTTCAGTGGTTAGAGCGCCCGCCTGCGGTCCGGAGAGACCCGGGTTCGGTTCCCGCTAAGGGCATGTACCTTGGTTGCAGTTTGTCCCCGGCCCTGGTTGGTCGTGCGGGTGGCAGCCACTCCATGTGTCTCTTTCACATCGATGTTTCTCTCTCTCTCTCTTCCTCTCTCTCCCTCCCACTCTGTCTGTACAAAAATGGAAAAATGTCCTCGGGTGAGGATAAAAAAAAAAAAAAAAGAAAAAAAATTTTCTTAAAAAAGGAAAGAAGGCTAGTAATATTAGGTAACTAAATATTTGTTTGATATACTAAGAAATATAACTGTGGGAAGAGATAAACCAAAGAATTTATATGCGTACATGCACAACCAATAAACACAGACAATAGTGTGGGGAATGCAGGAGGTGGTTGGGAGCATGGAGGAGGGGGTCGATGGGGGGAATAATGGGAGACATATGTAATACTTTCAACAATAAAGATAAAAATAAAAATTATTTTCTAGTTAAAAAAATATATATTTTATAAAACCAAGCTCATTTTTATTTACAAAATCTATTTCAAATGTCCATATAAGAGAGGTGTTTTTTTTTTCATTCCAGGAAAGCAAATAAAACAGTCAGATATTTTAACAAATTGTTTACAGTCAAGTAACACAGTAAATCTCCACAATTGTGACTATGTCAGAACAAGGTCTCATGTGTTTAATAGCCATGGTTTACTGAGTGCTTACTCTGGTGCCAGACAATGTGCTAAATAAGCATTTAACATATTATGTTATTAATTCTTATAAAACTTATGAGGTTAGTATTATCATCTCCATTTCACATATGCAAAAATTAAGATTTGGAAAGCTTAATTAACCTGTTCCAAGACATGCATCCAGTCCTTGGTAAAGCTGATATCTGAAACAAAGTTCGATAACCAAGCCTATGATGCTAATTATTATGCTGTAATGCCTGCAAAGCCTGAATTAAGTAACGATAATATACATCAATTAGGTATGTGAGGTCACATGGTCTGACTCATATTACAGTCGTCCCTCGTTTATCACGATTAATATGGTCCAGACTCTAGTTGTTGAAGGATTCCTGGGGTGCTCGAATACATAGGCCTACAGTCCATACGTACAGTAATTTTAATTGTAATTGTAATACAAGGGTGTATAATTGACTCAGACAACCGAGCACATGCTGTATCACTTTCACTGTCTCAATCAACTTTTTAATGAATATATTTGAAAAAAACGCGATAGAGTGAAGCCGCGAACAAAGCGCTAAGTGGCGGGGACGACTGTACTAACAATTCTCAGTAAAACGGGTTATCTGAAAAATAATTCTACAGCCCTGGCCAATTTTGCTCAGCGGTTAGAGCGTCGGCCCACAGACCAAAGAGTCTCAAGTTCAATTTCCGGTCAAGGGCACGTACCTCGGTTGCAGGTTTGATCTCCAGCCCATTGGGGTTGTACAAAAGGCCACTTATCAATGTGTCTCTCTCACATGGATGTTTCTCTCTCTCTCTCCACCTCCCTCCCTCCCACTCTATCTAAAAAAAATATATATATATATATATATATATATATCTCAATGGAGCCCTGGCCAGTTTGGCTCAGCAGTTAGAGCATTGGCCCACAGACAAAAGAGTAGCAGGTTCAATTCCAATCAAGGGCACGTACCTTGGTTGCAGTTCATGCGGGAGGCAACCAGTTGACGTGTCTCTCTCACGTTGATATTTCTCTCTCTCTTTCTTTTTCGCTCTCTCTTTCTCCCCCCCTCTCCTTCCTCCCTCCCACTCTATCTAAAGATAAAATAGAAAAATATCCTTGGGTGAAGATGAAAAAAATTAATAAATTTTAAAAATCAATGGAAAAATATCCTCAAGTAAGGATTTTTAAAAAAAGAATTCTACAAATATTTTCACCCCTAGCACTTCATCAGTAAGGGCCATACTTCATATTGAGCTGGGCCATGCTATATTACATCCCTTTAGACTGCCTCTTCAAAGTGATGTGTAGATAACACAGTCTAAGATAATGCATAAGCAGTATGGTGCACTGAAGCTGGAGTTAGAAGATCTTGGCTCTAGTGTTAATTCAAATATTTACTAGTGTAAGGGTCCTAGGCAAGTCTAACTTTTTTCTCTAATTATTCACCTGATCTAAATAAACAAACAAATAACATCTAATAAAATCCATTCTGCCTTCTGCAAAGGATAGTTGTGATGATCAAATGAGATGCGACATGAGATACTTTGTAAATCATAAAACACAAATGGTGTTATTCATTTAAGAGAAACAGAAGAAGCTGTCTCTCAAAAGGAAGCCCTTATTCTTTTCCCCACCCCAAGACACACTCACATGTTACCATATAAAAATCTGGAGGTAAATGTCATATCTAACACAGAGAAATGAAGAAAGTTATGAAAATGAGGGTAAGTCAAGGTTAGATGGGGAAAAAGAATGGCATATGACAGGATACACATATTTTTGAGCCAAGCGGACATTACAGCATTAATCTAAAAACCACTTTAATAAAAAATATTCACTTAACACAATTGAATTTATTCATTAAATAATGAGCTCTTAACAGTGTTCTCTTATATGATGCTAGCAATTCCTCCCGTACTTTATCATTAACACACTAAAATCTTGTAAGAGAAAAGATAATTTTGTTAATACCTTATTCCAGCCGCTGGTATGAACTGTGGTCTCCAGTGTACATTCCCGATATGTCTGATATGTCACTGGCCTGCAGAAATTTTTTTTAAAAGTCTGTGTCACTAAGTAGGAAAATTCTGAATTTCCAGATGAATAAATATACAGTCACTACACTAATGTTGTATGAAGATTTTGCAAAAGTAACAAAGATTATCAACATATTGTTTTGTATTAGATATGGCTTTTAACATTTGGTATGCACTTTTTTCAAGAATTTCCCTATAGGCCAAGAAGCATGTTACCAGTTTGGGGAAGCAGTTAATATAACAAGTAATAATAACAGATGTTTTAAAATTGCTTGAAAGTCATCCAACAGGATTTCTGTATTGCAGATAAACATAAACACTTGGATTATTAATATGGGATCAAATAATAAAAATCTTATTAATAAAATTAAAAGCATAATTTTAATTTTTTTAAAGGCAAAAAAATCTAAAATATTTAAAAAGACAAGTCACTGGAAGACTTTTCAAATTGAGGCTGTAAGAGGTTGAAATAAACAAGGCCAATGAATGGAGCTCTTTCATTAACTTGGTGTCTTGCAACAAAATCCTGGAGGGCAGAGAGAGAAGCCTTTCTGATTACTTCCATGAGTGTTCTAGTCATGCCAAAATTCAAATCACTGAGAGATGACAATGCTCATTCAATAATTTACTGAGGGACTTCAAGTACTATAATTTAAGTCTGGTTTCATGTGTAAATTAACAATAACAACAACAAAAATACTTGGTAACCAAGTAACATATGATGGTATCAATAGCTTGGATAATAGATTTAGTGAGATGTACCCCCCTCTTGTGGGAAAATCATTAACCTATATATAAAAAGAAGGAGAGGAGTCTTACTTTAAAATTCATCCCAAAGGTATTTTCTGCTCTGACCACTCTGGTCTCTGATTTCTTCTGTGAATAGACTGGTAAGAGCTACCACTTACAGGTTGCTAATTGCTAGGTTTTATTTTTTATATTTTACACATTTCGTATTATAATGTTACATATTAGGAAACTGAAGCTCAGAAAAGTTAAGGGACCATCCCAAATCCACATAGCTGGCAAGTAGCAATGCAGGAATTTACACCCAATTAGATGTGGCTCTAAAGGCCACACTGTTTCTATTTTAACTTAGGATTTTGACACATACCATAATAATGTCTAGATGCCACTTGAGGCTAATAAGCACTTGCGATGTGGCTAGTGATATGCTGAAAGTGTAATACACACCGGATTTCAAAGACTTAGTATGGAAAAAAGAATGCAAAGTATCTCATTAATAAGTTGTTATACTGGGTATATGTTAAAACTGTATTTTGAATATATCAAGTTAAATAAAATATATTACTAAAAGCCATAATTTAGCCTGGCCGGTGTAGCTCAGTGGTTGAGCATTGACCCATGCACCAAGAGGTCACCAGTTCGATTCCTGGTCACGGTACATGCCCAGATTGTGGGCCAAATCCCCAGTGGGGGGCATGCAGGAAGCAGCCAATTGATGTTCTCTCTCTCCCTCTCCATTCATCTTTCTCTAAAAATCAATAAAGAAAATAAACAAAACATAATTTAATCTAATTTTTATGTGGTTGATAAAATTTTTAAATTATACACATGTGACTTGCATTATATCTACTGGACAGTGCTGTTCTAGATATTTCACAATAAAGGTTCTGATGACACAGGTGTCATTCTTTTATAAAAGTCAAAATAAAATCAATACTACAGTGATGCTGAGATACCAAGGATGACCTTGTTAATAAAATGTTATATAACCAATGTCAACACAATAAATTTAATTTTTTTTTAATGATGTTATGAACTACCTTCCTGATGTCATATTCCCACCTGGATAAACAGTACTTTTTAGAAGCCTTGGACTAAATACTACGTGTTTGTAAAACCTGACCTTCAGCAGAAACTATACAGTCTACCTCCCTATATTCTCCCTGAAACTTTACTTGCGTATATCAGTCCCTTCTCTTCCTTTCCTGAACTGTTTGATGCTGCTGTGGGTGACAGTAGATCTTACTGGTAGTTTGTTTATCAGGCTAAAATACTTTAGCATCCTTCAGAATGAAATCATTTGAAACATTATATGTACACACATACATGCATATAAACAGCAGATTAAACATTCAAAGGAAATCTAATACATAGAAAAGTGTAAATGAAAAACCAGCCCTATCTAAATAGCTACTTGAAAACAGAGAAAGGAATAAATAGGGGATGGGGAGACTCTTTTGAAACAATTTCCTCCATAGGAAGAGATGGGGATTACATTCCCACTTTAACAAAATTGGAGGAGAAGGTGGTATTTTCCACCTTAAAAGATAGTACTATGAACCTGTATAATAATTCTAGTTCATCATCAGATAGTTATTTTTAAGGTACTAGTAACAGTACTTAATAACTTTCAAAAATATATTTCTGATCATCGCACTTATTTCTTCAAAACTGGCTAAAATCTACTAGAACATTTCTTCGTGACTGCTAAAATGGGGTATATGTTGTGTTCAATATTCCTTTAACACTAAAAGATCTCTGTTTTACTATTTGCCATTTGAAAATTACATCTGATATCCTTTAGATTATGTAAAGAAAACATCTTTTTTTTTTAAATCCTCACCTGAGGACATTTTTACATTTATCTTCAGATAGAGCGCGAGGGAGAGGGGGGGAAAGAGAGAGAAACATTAATGTGAGAGAGACACACTGACTGGTTGCTACCCACATGGCCCCAACAGGGGCAGGGACAAACTGCAACCGAGGTATGTGCCCTTCGTGGGAACTGAACCTGGGACACTATGGTTCGCAGGTCAACGCTCTAACTGCTGAGCCAAACTGGCCAGGGCAAAAAAACATCTTAACATGCATCTTAACAGCAAAAATATTTATCTTTAAGTAGAAGAAAAATATTGAAAATAAACACAATACTCAAAAAGAAAAAAAAAAGATTATTGAAAAAAAATTTATTCAGGAACCTAACAACCAGAGATATCAATTTCAAAATTAATTATATCAGTATTCAGAGTCAAGAGAGAAATAAATAAATATTCATCAAAGATAAGATTTTTAAAAATATCACTTACTTTGGCCCTGGCCGATTTGGCTCAATAAAAGAGCTTCGGACTGCAGACCAAGGAGTTGCAAGTTCGATTCCGGCCAAGGGCATGTACCTCTCGGTTTCAGTTTGCCCTCGGCCCTGGTCGGGTTCACGTGGGAGGCAACTAGTCAATGTGTCCCTCTCACACTGATGTTTCTCTCTTTCTCTCGCTTTCTCTCCCTCTCTATCAGAAGATAAATAGGAAAATATTCTCGGGTAAGAACTAAAAAAATATTAATAACAAAACAAAATATCACTTACTTTGCAGTGAGAAGATAGCATTTTTCTTTTATGTTATGAAAAGGACTCCAAAAATAATACTTTTAAAAAAATTATATAATACTGTTCTTCAAATATCCCAGTAAAGTTAAAACTGATGGACAAATTGAGATACAGAGTGAAATGATTTGCTCAAAGCTATAGTTTGTATCAAAATTGGAAACAGAGCCCTGGCCAAGTAGTTCAGTTGGTTAGAGCATTGTCCCCATACACCAAGGTTGTGGGTTTGATCTCCAGTCAGAGCACATACAAGAAGCAACCAATGAATGCATCAATAAGTGGAGCAACAAATCAATGTTTCTATCTCTCTCCCTTAAAATCAATTTTTTAAAAATTGCAAATAGAATTTTTTTGTCTTATACATCTCAGTTATTTTACTCCCAGTCCCAATAGCTTTGTTTTGGCAAACAAAATGTCTTCAAATCTTACATGAAACATCAATCTATAACATATATGAAAATACAGCTGTTCTAGTTTAAGAGTAATGGAGAGGCCCTAACAAACGCCACCCACTCACCCTGTCCTCACCTCTAGGGGGTCCAGGAAGGCTCCATAGAATACTTTGAAAGTCACTACTATACATCCACATTTCCTATTAAGTTTTATTTCCCAACACCCATAATGTTATTTCCTCTCCATATTTATTTTTAAACTTTACTATATATAAAGTTAAGAAAACCCAAATGTGATTTTTATTTCACTGTTTCCCATGTATAATTTGGGTTTTTACCTTTGCTCATGTCACCAGAATATGCAGAAACAAACTGAATTCTTCTTAAACCCACACTGCTTCCTTCTAATAAATGGTAACCTAGAAACTCTGCCTACATGAAAGTTAGGAATTACCTTCCTACAACAGTAATTTAGCATATGAATTTTGATCCTTTTAGCAAAAGAACAGTTGTCATCCCGTTTTAGACAGTTGTCAATCTTCATTAAAACAAATACTTTTTTTCTATTTCATACAAATTCCTTAGTGAGTCTCAGCAAAAAATTATGGGAAATAAATTTTTCAGATGTATAATAAATGATCTGGTCCTATTTTACTACACTTTGACTATGGGCCTCATGCCTTTAGCTTTCACAGCCAGAGCCAAAGTGAGGAGAGGAGTTCCCACGACAAGAATGTGGCACAATTCCATGGGCAGACGTGCCACCCCAAAGTTCAGCAGCACTAGGGATACCTAAAATACAGGTGGAATGTTAACCTCACATTACAAAGCATAAAATGCTAGTCATAATATTTGTGTTGGCCACTAGAGAATGGTAGTAAAAGTGGTCAGGACAAATAAAACAGCTTGTAATTACAACTCAGTGAAAGCACTTGCTGACACCTGACAGCTCAACGAGAAAATACAAATGGTCAAATCCATGTTGGGACAGTTAAATCACTTCTTTGATGCAAAAGTTGTTGCTCAAAACACAAACAGTTGCTTTGGGAAAACAAGAGAAGAAAAAGTGAAGAAAAGTAAAGTGATAAAAGAAGTGACACCACTCATGTAAAATAAAGTCTTAACCAAGCCAGTGCTGCATAAGCAATGCAGAAGACAACTCAGAGATGCAGGTCCCACTCAGCAATGGTAACTCACTGGCTAAGGAGCACTTGCAATGCCTTATGTAGAGGCTCTTTCAGTTCCTGGGACACTCTTTCTCCAAGATGAGCCAAGCAGTCTTCTACCGAGCTTTCTGGGTTAGCAGGGCTGAAGACTGGAGAAGTGTGCCGGTCAAAGCCTGTGCTGGTAAAGGCTGAAGACAGGGCAAAAGAAAATCTAATTTAATAAATAGTACCAAGAGTTGTGCTGTAAAAGCTCAGGGGATTAAGACACCTGCTACTGAGAATAAGCCACTTTAAAAGGTCAAAGTGGCCAGTAGGGAACCTGCAGGAGGCAGCTGATGGAAGTTTCTCACATCAATGTTTCTCTCTCCCCTTTCCTTCTCTCTCTAAAAAAAAAAAAAACCCCAATAAAAACATAATAAAAAAATAAGTAAAAGGTCAAAGAGCCCTGGCCTTTTGGTTCAACTGACAGCATTGGCCCAAGGACTGAAGGGTTGCAGGTTCAATTCCTGGTCAAGGGCACATACCTGGATTGCAGGTTCAATCCCTGGCCCCTGTTGGGGTCCTGTGGGAGGCAACCAATTGATGTCTCGCTCTCTCCCTCTCCACCACCTCCTCCTCCTTCCTTCCACTCTCTAAATATCAATGAAAAACTATCCTCAGGCGAGGATTAAACAAAAAACAAAAAAAACACCAAAAATTTTTAAAAAGAAAAAAGGTCAAATCACTACAGGATATTCTTTCCTGGAGCACATAACTGGATAGGTCCTAAATTTAGAGGTTTTTTTTTTTTTTTTAATCCTCATCCGAGGACATTTTTCCATTTTTTGTACAGACAGTGTGGGAGGGAGAGAGAGGAAGAGAGAGAGGGAAACATCGATGTGAAAGGGACACATCGAGTGGCCGCCACCCGCACGACCAACCAGGGCCGGGGACAAACTGCAACTGAGGTACATGCCCTTATCGGGAACCGAACCCGGGTCTCTCCGGACCGCAGGCGGACGCTCTAACCGCTGAGCCAAACCGGCCAGGGCAAAAGAAAAGATTCTTATGAAAAATATTCGTTTTAAGAGAAGAAAAAGACTAAACTGTAATGTTAACATACACAAACCAATTCAGTGTATTATTACTGACCAATGCAGTATCGTGTAAGAATGATAAATGAGAGGCATCTCCTAGATCTGTCATCTCTCTCCTAATATTTTGTTTTTAAGGTTTTGTTTTTACCTTTACAAATGTGGCACTTTTTTGTTGTTGTTGTTGTTAATCTTCACCCAAAGATATATTTTTCCATTGCTTTTTATTTATTGTTTAATCCTCACCCGAGGATATTTTTTTCTATTTATCTTCAGATACAGTGGGAGAGAGGGAGAGAGAGAGAGAGAGACATATCGATGTGAGAGAGACACATCAACTGGTTGCCTCTCACATGACCCCGACCAGAACCAGGGACCAATTGCAACTGAGGTACGTGCCCTTGACCGGAATTGAATTCACGACTCTTTGGTCCACGGGACGACACTCTAACTGCTGAGCCAAACTGGCCAGGGCTTTCCTTTGATTTTTTTTTTTTTTTTTATCCTCACCCGAGGACATTTTTCCATTTTTTGTTCAGGTAGAGTGGGAGGGAGAGAGAGGAACAGAGAGAGAGAGAGAAACATCGATGTGAAAGGGACACATCGAGTGGCTGCCACCCACACAACCGACCAGGGCGGGGGATAAACTGCAACCGAGGTACGTGCCCTTGGCGGGAACCGAACCCGGGTCTCTCAGGACCACAGGCCGACGCTCTAACCGCTGAGCCAAACCGGCCAGGGCTTTCCTTTGATTTTTAGATAGAGTAGAAGGGAGGGAGAGAAACAGAGAAACATCGATGTGAGAGAGACAATCAACTGATTGCCTCCTACACAACCCCAACTAGGGCCAGGGATCAAACCTGCAACCCTTCAGTCCACAGGTCAATGCTCTAACCACTGAGTCAAACTGGCCAGGGCAATGTGGCACTTCTTAAACCAGACTTAAATTAGTTTATTCCACCTTACAGAATGAGTCAATTACTTTCATTCCCTTTTCATTTATTTTAAATATATTTTTATTGATTTTTTTTAGAGAGGAAAGACGGGGAGAAAGAAACATCAATGGACCGCCTCCTGCACACCCCATACTGGGGACTGAGCCCGCAACCTGGGCATGTGCCCTGACCAGGAATCGAACCAGTGACCTCTTGGTGCATGGGACAATGCTCAATCCACTGAGCCACATCAGCTGGGCTCATACCCCTTTTAAGACAAACTTTTCGCTCTGGCCGATTTGGCTCAGCTGTTGGAGCGTCCACCCGCGGACCAAAGAGTCTTGTGACAGTTTTGATTTTGGCGAAAGGCATGTACATCGGTTGAGGTTCATCCCTGGCCCTGGTTGGGGCCATGCGGGAAGCAACCAGTTGATGTCTCTCTCTCTCACGTCGATGTTTCTCTCTCTCTCTTCCTCCCACTGTGTTTGAAGATAAATGTAAAAATATTCTCGGCCAGGGCACATGCCCCGATTGTAGGCTCGATCTCCAGGAGGGGGCATGCAGGAGGCAGTCAATGGATGAGGGCATGAACCTGGGTTGCAGATTCAATCCCTGGAATTGGCTGGGGTGTGTGTGGGAGGCACCCAATCAATGTGTCCCTCTCACATTGATGTTTCTCTCTCTCTTCTCTGTTCCACTCTCTCTCTCTAAAACAAATCAATGGAAAAAATATCCTTGGGTGAGGATTAATAACAATAACAAAAACATTGGATGGGACATGCTGGAGGTAGCCAATGAATGCTGCACTCTCACATCAATGTTTCTCTCTTCTCCCTTCCTCTCTCTCAAAAAAATCAATAAACTATTCTTTGAAAAATAAAGTTGGTAAAGATCCTGGCCAGGTGGCTCAGTGGAATGAGTGTTGTCCCATGGGCTGAGGTCCCAGTTCAATTCCCAGGACCTATCTCTCTCTTCCTTCCTCTCTAAGAAATCAATAAAAACATTTAAAAGAGAGAGAGAGGTTGTTGGTTTAATTCTCAGTCAGGGTGCATACCCAGGTTGTGGGTTCAACCCCCGGTCAGGGTGCATGCAAGAGGCACCCAATGGAAGTTTCTCTCACATCGATGTTTCTCTCTCTCTCTCTCTCCCCCTTTCTCTCTCTCTTAAAATCAATAAAATACATATTTTTTAAAATGAATATTCATAGTAGCATTATACATAGTAGCCAAAAAGTGCAAACAACCTAAATGTCCATCAACTGATGAATGGAAAAACAAAAGGTGGTATATCATACAATGAAATATTATTCTATCATAAAAGGAAACGAAGTACTGATACATGCTATCACATGAATGACTCTTGAAAAACTATCCTAAGTGAAAGGCAGTCGCAAAAGATCACACAGTGTATGATTCCAGTTATGTGTACATCCATAATAGGCAAAGGCACAGAGACAGATGGCGGATTAGATGGGGATGGGGGAAGGAGCTAGTAGGAATAGTAAATATGGGAACTGACTGCTAATATGTGTAGTGTTTCTTTTTGGAAGGTTAAAAATGTTCTAAATTTCGATTGTGGTGATGGTTGCACACTTTGTACAACTGAACTATACACCCTGAATGAGTGGATTTTATGGTATGTAAAATATACCTCAAAAAATCTATAAAAGAAATAATTGGACAAGATGTTCAATGCATCTTGATTTATGGAAGGCAAAACAAGAAATAACCCAAATGCTCCCCTCAATAATATGGGAATGAAAGAATGGTCATTCAGTATATGAAATTTCATATAGTTAATACAATAACTATTTTAAAAGTTTATGATATAATGTTAATTACAAAATATATGGCTAGTCCAGCTGGTGTGGCTCAGTGGTTGAGCATTGACCCATGCACCAAGAAGTCACCTGTTCGATTCCCAGTCAGGGCACATGCTCAGGTTGTGGGCCCGATCCCCAGTGGGGGCATGCAGGAGGCAGCCAATCAATGTTCTCTCTCATCGATGTTTCTATCTCTTTCTTTCTCTCTTTAAAATCAATAAAGAAAAAGTATATGGCTATAAAATTACATCTACATTACTATTACAACTATCTATAGCATATATATATACACAAAACTGAAAGCAGTTTACTTCCATTTTTCCTTTAATGTTGTTGCATTGAATGGAAGGTACCTTAACATGATTGCTTAACCCATCATTTATCATCAGAAAAGGCTACATCTAAAGTAGCTGTTGGGTACAGTTAGAAAATATTTTTAAAAATCCCTCAGGAAAGAAAAATGAGAGGCCATTAGTTTCACCCTTATAATCCTATAGCAATGAAGTTGTGTAGTATTGAGAAAACTCTCCCGTAAAAAATCAAATTAAACCAACAGTAAACCACACCAAACAGAATCTTCTAATTAACGAGGAAAATAAGAATAAAGAGACCTTCAGAAATTTCTTTGTCCAGGGATTTCAGCTCTTCTTCAATTTCAGTTTTAACTTTTAATAAAACTTCTTGATCCAGAGATTGTGAAGCTACATCCTGTTGACCTCCTGAAACCAAAAAAAAGGTTATTACTGACACAGGGAGAAAGAAGCCATTTAGAATATGGATAGTAATTTCACTATTAAGTAAAAAATATAAATAAAACTCACTATCAAGCCTAAGGGTTTGGAGATATTTAAAAATGAGAAAAGTGCAGCTGGGTAGGTTATACCACTACATGGAGAAGCTGTGATTGGAACTCAGGTCAGTGTGAATACAAAACTATCAATGCAGGCTGTGTCCTCACCTTCTGGTTGGATGGCTAGGAAGGATGTATCTCAGAAACACTTTTGACATTATAAAAAAGGAAACCTGAAAGGTTGTCTAAATCAGTGATAATATATTTTAATATTGGCCATCATGGTCTGGTATCTTCATGCAAACTGCAGCCCAAGAGAGAAAGCCTATTATCATCAAAAGATTTCTATCCTCCAAATCAAGGAAACTATGAATCTCCTCATACAGTAAAAGGAAAAGGAAGGTCTTGGTCTCTAGTACAGAATGGAGAACTACAGGAAAGAATCTGAAGAAAAATTAGACTAGATAGCCCAGCCAGTGTGTGTCATAGGTTCAGTTTCTGCAGGCACATGCCTGTGTTGGGGGCTCAAACCCTAGTAGGGGGTGTGCAAGAAGCAGCCGATTGATGTTTCTCTCTCACATCAATGTTTCTCTCTCTCTTCCTCTCCTGTCCTCTCTCTCTGAAATCAATAAAAACATACTTTTAAAATTAGACCAGATACTTGATTATTTACTAATTTCTCCCGCCTAAGGTATTTGGAGAACTTCAACATTTCTTCTAAAACACTGAATGCAAATATGCTACTCTCCACCTCTCCTATTCAGAATATACTTATAGGTGCACTTGCAGTACTTTCCAGTTGCACATATCATTGTTTTCTACCACTGACAAGTTTTATAAAGAGAGGTATTAGCCATTTATATGTTTTTATTTTTGCAAGCTAAAAAATCTGAATTCAAAGATAGACTTAATAACTTAGGCCAAGAAACATAATTATCATAGGATTTATGGGTCTTTAAAATACCTTTGAAAAGCAAAAGGTTAAATGTTTCTGTATCTTAGATTCTCTGATTAGTTTTCAACTTTTAAAGTTGACAAAAATAATTTTCCTTTAAGACACACAGAACACTTTCCTTCTGAACTGAGACTATCCAAATTAAAATTTAGATCCTTTAAAAAAATTTTTGTGGAAAATATAAAACTCCTTATGTATTTCCAGCTGAGGTGCAACACAAAGGATCCCCTCAATGTCATAATTAACATATGTTTTGCTTATCTAGACATTTTACTTACCTTTTCTGTAGAAGAAACTACATACATAAAACTTTAACACATTACATAAGCTCTCCTCCTGTCCCCCAAAATGCCAAAAGGAAAGAAAGCTAAGGGGAAGAAGATGGTGCCAGACCCTGCTGTAGTAAAGAAGCAGGAGGCCAAGAAGGTGGTATATCTCTTTGAGAAAAGGCCCAAGAATTCTGGCACTGGACAAGACATAGAGTCCCAAATGGACCTTTCCCACTTTGTCAAGTGGTCCTGCTACACTGGGTGTAGCAGCAAAGACCTATCCTCTATTATAAGTGTCTGAAAGAGTCTCCTGCCATTAACCAGTTCACCCAGGCCTTGGACTGCCAAACAACGACTCAACTGCTTAAGCTGGCCCACAAATACAGACCAGAAACAAATCAAGAGAAGCAGCAGAGACTGCTGGTCCAGGTTGAGAAAAAAGTTGCTGGCAAATGATGTCCCCACCAAGAGGCCACCTGTCCCTCACGCAGAGGTTAACACTGTCACCACCTTGGTGGAGAACAAGAAGACCCAGCTGGTAGTGACTGCACAGGACGTGGACCCCATCAAGTTGGCTGTCCTCCTGCCTGTGCTGTGCTATGCGGTGAGATGAAGGTTATCAAAGGAAAGGCCAGGTTGGGCGTTTGGTGCACAGAGAAGATCTGTACTACCAGCATCTTCACGCAGGTTAACTTGGAAGACAAAAAAGCTCTGGATGCCCTGACAGGTTTGGCTCAGCGGTTAGAGCGTTGATATGTGAACCAAAGAGTCCCGAGTTTGATTTTGGCCAAGGGCACATATACCTCAGGCATAGTTCATCCCTGGTCCTGGCTGCAGTCATACAGGTGGCAACCAGTTGATGTGTCTCTCTCACATCAATAATATTCTCTTTCTCCCCCTCCCTCCCTCCCTCTCTATATAAAAATCAATGGAAAAATATAAGGATTAAAAAATAAATAAGAGTTGAAAGAAAAAAATGTAGTTTTCCTATTCTAATTTTATTAGAATATTTTTATTTATTTAGATTTTTCCATTACATATTATTATAAACTACATTAAATTATATGTGGTAAGGAATTCTTCATTAATTTTTTGTTTTTGTTTTTTGAGAGAGGAAGGGAGAGATAGAAACATCAATCAGCTGCATCCTCCACGTTCCCAACTGGGGATCGAGCCTGCAACCCCAGGCATGTGCCCTGACCAGGAACGGAACTGGAACCTCTCAGTCCATAGGACGATGCTCAATCCACTCACTGAGCCACACAGGCTGGGCAAAAAAATTTTTTTCTTTTTTTCTTTATTGATTTTATTTATTTTAATTCTGTATTGATTTTAGAGAGAGAGGAGGGAGAGGGAGAGATAAAAACATTGATGAGAGAGAACACTGACTCACTACCCCCTGCATGCCTCCCACTGGGGATCGGTCCCACAACCTGGGCATGTGCCCTGTCCAGGAATCGAACCAGCGACCTCTTGGTGCAAGGGTCAACACTCAACCATTGAGCCACATCAGCTGGGCTGGGCAAAGAATTCTTTAATTCATTCCTGTTCCTACCCAGAATAAACTCACTGGCAATTTATTCACTAACAAAAAAGACATATTATGCTAAATTTTTACCTAACCTGGACTGCCCTTCCTTTTCCAGATTATTCAAATTCTGTCCACCCTGCAAGGACCAATTTATGTTTCTCTACTTCTCCATAATATCTTCACTAACTACTTCTGTATCACTAACATTTGAACACTTAGATCATTTAGTCTTTGCCACATAGTTTAAACACTTAAATATATACTATCTTATATTGTTCAATGATTATACAGTAATTTTTTTTTCTTTACTGAAAGGAAGAAGTGATTATCTAGTATTATTCTAACCAGATTACAAACTATTTGAGATACTCCTTTTGTCCTAGACCTGTGTCAAGCATGAACTAAAAAAGTACTCAAATATTTGATAGTGACAGCTATCACTGTCACTATGATGAAGATTTAAATGACACATGAATAGATGACAACCTTGCTGGGGAGATAGAACAATTAAGAAAAAAGACAATAAAGTGAGTTATATATAAATTCAGCAAGATTACAAAGTTATTAGTATATTTTGAAGCTAGCTCAAATGAAAAGAGTTTAAAAAAATAAAGAAAATGAAAAATCATTTTACATAAGAGAGTAACAGTATAGACCAACCACATACATAGGCATAGTAACTAAAGCATTTGTTTATTGTGACAGAATTGTGATGGAGAATACTGAGAATGAGGAATAAAAAGATCTCCATGCTTGCCCTGGCCGATTTGGCTCAGTGGTTAGAGCTTTGGCCTGCAGTCCCAAGAGACCCGGGTTCGGTTCCCGCTAAGGGCATGTACCTTGGCTGCAGTTTGTCTCTGGCCCTGGTTGGGTCATGCGGGTGGCAGTCACTCGATGTGTCCCTTTCACGTGGATGTTTCTCTCTCTCTCTCCCTCTTTCTCTCTCTCTTCCCCTCTCTCCCTCCCACTCAATCTGAACAAAAAAATGGAAAAATGTCCTTGGGTGAGGATGAAAAAAAAAAAAAAAAGATCTCCATGCTTATAGAATTTTAATCAATGTCTAAATCATAAATTTGATATTTTCAAAAGTCTGTAAAGTAAAAGCTGAGTAGTTCACCTACTTGAAAAATTTAAATGACTTGTCTAGACTGAAATAAATAACAGAAAAAAGGATTAGAAAGTAGATCATCTGATAAGCAAAATTATTACTGAATTCTAAAACATGATTATAACTGATGAATGGTGAAAAATAATACATGAATGTTTTATCTGACATCTGCCTCTTTATAATAACATATATATACCTGAAACATACACACACACAACCACCAAATCACAACCATGTCACAAAGTACATCACAATAATGTCCCAGTTACCATATGCCCCACCCTGCCAGATTAAAGAAAAGCAGCCAATTAAAGGAATGCCTATCCTCATGAGACCAATGTGATGCTGATTACACAAGACAAGTTGTCATAGTTAATAAGTCATGTGGAAAACTTAAACCTGACTCTATTGCTGTCAGAGCACAAAAGGTTATTTATTTAGTTAACCAATGACATAGAAAGATTCCATGATTTTCATTTAATCAACCTCCCTCCCAGACTTTCAAAAGCATAGAGAGTTATGCAGTGGCAGCAATGCAGCATAAAGCCTGAACTAAAAACCCAAAGAAAAGTATTTCAAAGATAAACAGACTTGAGTACACTAAGTCCCATCTACCCCAGTGTCAAATGAAGTCAGTAATTAACATATTCTAGGCCAGAAATATATTCAGGGCTTTCAAAGTGAGTACCAGATTAACAATTTTAGATTATTTCTATGAACTAGATATTCTAGAGCAAAATACTTTCTTTTTTGTTTTTTTTAATCCTCACCCGAGGATATTTTTCCATTTTTTGTACAGATAGAGTGGGAGGGAGAGAGAGGAAGGAAGGGAGAGAGAGAGAGAGAAACATCAACGTGAAGGGACACATCGAGTGGCTGCCACCCGCACGACCAACCAGGGCCGGGGACAAACTGCAACCAAAGTACGTGCCCTTTGCGGGAACCGAACTCTGGTCTCTCCGGACCGCAGGCCGACGCTCTAACTGCTGAGCCAAACTGGCCAGGGGGCAAAATACTTTCTAAATCTATGCTTCCCCAAATGGAACATTAAAATCACCAAGAGAAT